TGACTTATTCATCCCATTGTTGGAAACCTGCATCTCCTTCTCTTCTTCACCATTTTTCTCATCCTTGCCTTCCCCTCTCCTCTAGCAACCATCAGTTTTCTGTATTTATGGGTCTATTTCTGCCTTTTGTTTGTTCATTGGTTGATTCATTTTTTTAGCTTCTTTTTTAGATTCTACATTTAAGCGAAATCATATGATATTTGTCTTTTTCTGACTTGACTTGTTTCAATTAGCATTATACCCTCTAGATCCATCCATGTTGTCACAAATGGCAAGATCTCATCCTTTTTTATGGCCAAGTAATATTCCATTATATATATAATATATACATACATATTTATTTATACATATATATATACACACATATTACACACACATACACCCCACATCTTCCTTATCCATTCATTTATTGAGGGATGCTTGGCCTGCGTCCATATTTTGTCTATTCTAAATAATCTTTCAATAAGCATAGGGATGCATATATATTTTCAAATTAGTATTTTTGTTGCCTTTGGGTAAATATACAATAATGGAATTACTGGATTTTACAGTATTTCTATTTTTAATTTTTTGAGGCACCTCCACAGTGGCTGTCCCAATTTAACATTTCCACCAGCAGTGCACAAGGATTCCCTTTTCTTTACCTCCTTGCCAACACTTATTTCTTGTTTTTTTGAGTCTAACCATTCTGACAGGTGTGTGATGATTTTTCATTGTGGTTTTGACTTACAGTTCCCTGGAAATTACTGATGTAGAGCATCTTTTCATGGGTCATCAGCGTTCCTGTGGAAAATGTCTTTTCAGATCCTCTGCCTATGTTTTCACTGAATTACTTTTTTTTTTTGATATATCAGATGTATCATTTGCAAAGATCTTCTATTAAGTAGGTTACCTTTTTGTTTTGTTCTCCTTCACTGTGTAAAAGCTTTTTATTTTGATGTAGTCCCGATAATTTATTTTTGCCTTTGTTTCTCTTGCCTAAAGAGACACGTCTAGAAAAATGTTGCTAAAGCCAATGTCAAAAAGATTACTGCCTATGTTTTCTTCTAGAAGTTTCATGATTTCAGGTCTCACTCTAGCCCATTTGAGTTTGTTTTTATGTATGGTGTTAGAAAGTGGTTCAGTTTCATTCTTTTACATGTAGCTGTCCAGTTTTCCCAACACCATTTATTAAAGAGACTTTTTTCCATTTTATATTCTTGCCTCCTATGTCATAAATAAATTGAGCAGATAAGCATAGGTTTATTTCTGGGCTCTCTATTGTGACCTATTGACCTATGCATCTATTTTTATGTCAGTACCATAGTGTTTTGATTATTATAGCTTTGTAGTATATTTGAAATCTAGAATTGTGCTACTTCCAATTCTTCTTCCTCAATATTGCTTTGGCTATTCAGGGTCTTTTGTGGTTCTATACAAATTTTAGTATTATTCTAGTTCTACAAAAAAAAAACTGTTGGTATTTTAACGGGGACTGCACTGAATCTGTAGGTTGCTTTGGGTAGTATGGACATTTTGACAATATTAATTCATGATCCTGGAATATCTTTCCACTTGTGTTGTTCTCAATTAACTTCCTCAATGTTTTATGCTCTTCAGATTGTAGGTCTTTCACCTTCTTGGTTAAATGTATTGCTAGGTATTTTATTCTTTTTGTTGCAGCTATAAATAGAATTGTTTCCTGATTTCTCTTTCTGCTACTTTGTTACTAGTATATAGAAATGCAACTGATTTCTGTGTGTTAATTTTGTATCTCGCAACTTAACTGAATTTATTTATTGCTTCTAAGTTATCTGGTGGAGTCTTCAGGGTTTTCTATGTACAGTATCATGTCAACTGCTAATAGTAACAGTTTAGCTTCTTCCTTACCAATTTGGATGCTTTTTACTTGGAGTGTGTGGGTGTACGACTGCTATGGCTAGGACTTCCAGTATTATGTTGAATAAAAGTGGTGAGGATGGACATCCTTGTCTTGTTTCTGGTCTTAGAGGGAAGTTCTCAGTCTTTCAACATCAAGTATGTTAGGTGTGGGTTTGTCAAATATGGCCTTTGTTATATTGAGTTATCTTCACTCTAAATTCACCTTGTTGAGAATTCTTATCATGAATGGATATTGTACTTTGTCAAATGCTTTTTCTGCATAAATGATCATATGGTTTTTATCCTTTCTCTTGTTAATGTGGTGTATCATGTTGGTTTGTGAATATTGAACCAACTGTGTATCCTTGGAGTAAGTCCCACTTGATTATGATGAATTATTTTTTAATGTATTGCTGAATGTGGTTTGCTAAGATTTTATTGAGGATTTTTTTTTTTTGCATCTATGTTTATCAGGATATTGGCCTGTGGTTTCCTTTTTTCTGTAATGTCTTTATCTGGTTTTGGTATAAGAGTCATGCTGACCTCATAGAATGTGTTTGGAAGCCTTCCTTCCTCTTCTATCTTTTGGAATAGTTTGAGGAAAATAGGAATTCACCTGTGAAGCCATCTGGTCCTGCACTTTTGTTTGTTGTGATTAATGATTCAATTCAATTTCATTAACAGTTATCAATGTAATCAAATTTTCTATTTCTTCCTAATTTAGTTTTAAAAGATTACATGTTTCTAGGAATTTATCCATTTTTTTCCTAGGCAGTTCAATTTATGGGCATATAATTTTTCTTAGTACTCCCTCATTATCCTTTGTATTTCTGTGATATCAGTTGTTACTTCTCCTCTTTCATTTCTGATTTTATTTGTTTAGGTCCCCTCTCTCCTTTTTTTTTTTTTTTTTAATGAGTATGGCTAAAGGCTAAGCCATGTCATGTATTTTTTCAAAGAACCAGCTCCTTAAAAAAAGATTTATGTATTTATTTGAGAGAGAGATTTATGTATTTATTTGAGGGTGAGGGGCAGAGGGAAAGGGAGAAGCAGACACTCTGCTGAGTGGGGAACCCAACACAGGGCTTAGTCTCATGACCCATGAGATCACAACCTGAGCCAAAACTAAGAGTCAGAGGCTTAACCAACTGAGCCACCCAAGTGCCCTTCAAAGGGTTTTAATGTCATTAACCTTTTCTATTTTTTAATCTCTATTTCATTTATTTCTATTCTATCTTTATTATTGTCTTCCATTTACTAACCTTGGGGTTTATGATATGACTTCATTTCAATTTTTTTAAAGATTTTATTTATTTATTCATGAGGGACACAGAGAGGCAGAGACACAGGCAGAGGGAGAAGCAGGCTCCGTGTAGGGAGCCCGATATGGGACTCGATTCCTCAACCAGGATCACACACTGAGCTGAAGGCAGACACTCAACTGCTGGGCCACTCAGGTCTCCCTCATTTCAATTTTTAAAGTAAGTTCATAACATTTTAGAAACATTCAAGTTTGTTTTTGTGTCTACAACTCCTATCCTTCTATGTATTCCTGCAGTTAAACAGTTTAAGTAAGAAATGATAGCCCAGTGAGTAAAAGGATAATTAACAGTATTTAAATTACACCAATTTGGTCACTCTATATGATTATGTAGGGTTTAATTGTGCTTAAAATTTTAAACTCAAAGAGTGCACAAGCTATGTTTTTTTGTTTGGTTAAGTGCAAATTTTAATTCACACAAAAACATTATGCTGAATTTAATCAATAGCTTTCAAATTGACATTTGTTCTTTTAATGTTTCGTTTGTTTTAAAACTAGAGAATGAATCAAGAAATGATTATTACTGACCATTACATAACTATCGCCGGAACTAATTTTATTATGCAAAGGAGAGGAGTGTTAGGGTGATCCCCTCGGGGTGTGACGTACACCAGGCATGCTGCTGACCACAAGTGTTGCCCAAAGGCTATGGTCACTCGTCCTGTCGTCCAGGCTCATTATAACCGAGCATACTCTCTTGTGATCCTGTTCTCTTTTCTGTCCCTGCCATTCTCAACAAACCCACTGGTCAATGCAGCGGAAATCATATCTTAATTCAACATTCCTTTGGTCGTCCACTTCCTTGACTTTCTTGACTCCCTTAAAAAAGTGTTCACTTCTTTTATTAAATTATCTATGCTATTATATTCATCTGTATATTGGTTACTCTCAAATTTCTATCTCTGACTCTCACCTTTCCCATGAACCCCAGACTTGTGTACCTGACTCCTATGCCATGGCTCCACCTGGATGTCTGATAGGCATATTAAATTGACCATGATCGGGACGCCTGGGTGGCTCAGTGGTTGAACATCTGCCTTCAGCTCAGGACGTGATCCCACGTCTGGGGATCAAGTCCCACATCAGGCTCCCCTCAGGGAACCTGCTTCTCCCTCTGCCTATGTCTCTGCCTCTCTGTGTGTGTCTCTCATGAATAAATAAAATCTTTTTAAAAATAAAATAAATTGACCATGATCAAATAGAATTTAATGTTTTTGCCATATCTGTGCTGCCCCAGAGGTTCCCCTTTCAACAAATGGCATCATGCTTCAACAAGTCATTTAGAATATAACCTTGATCTTTCATTACTGTTTCTTCTATACCTCATACTCACTGCTTCAGTAATCCCTAAGAGGCTTAATCTTCTATATATAACCCAAATCTACCCAGTGCTCACTCCATCCCTGGAAGTGATAATTAACTCCCATGTGCCCCATCCTAGGGAATAAATTACATATGAGCCCAATAGTCTTCTATAAGGGACTATAGAGATCTACTCAATTTGTCAGCCCCACTAGAAAGGGAGGTCATGCGACCCAGAACTGAAAAATGAAATACAAGGGGAAATCTGCTTGAGTTTCTAGGGAAGAATCTTGCTTCCAAAATGAAAAGGCAAAGCCTTCAAAGAAAATGGCCTTACTCTAGTCCTTTCTTCCTGCTCAGGATCTTGGCTGGGGGTGTCATGATGCCTGCCACCTTGGGACTATGAAGAAAGAAGATCAAGAATAAAAATCCAGTGAACTGAGGATGGTAGGAGAAAAATGGGAAGAGATCAAGCTAATAATGACCGTCTTGAACCTCCAAGAAGAACCTTGCAATCAAACGCTAACGCTTCTGGTTAAGTAAATATTAAACTTCCCTGTTTGTAAACCAGTGATAATCTGGTTTTCTGTTACTTTCCCACAGATGGGACTAGCCAGGGGCAATAGAATGATGTCTAAACAGATGATATAGGGTCATCTAAAGTCACCTCTTCCTGATGAAAGGTCAAACACAAGGCCTATTAATATGCGGCAGTTAACAGAAGGCTTAGGTGCTGGCCTTATCTGGTTAATGAGAAGAAAGGAGAGGGAGGAACAGAAAGGCAGGAGGACTCCCCTTGGCAGAGAACCAGAGGAAAGGCAGCTGCTGCTTGTCATGGACCCACTGAAGTTTATCATAGTTGTGTGTCACACCCCGAGCAAGCATTTCTTGGAAAATATACTTGGGAGTGTGTTTGAATGTTGTGTTTGCTTGTGTGTTGAGAGGTTGGTGCAGGTCAATACCACAGGGTATAAAATGTCCTTTCCTACCAGTCTTTGCAGGCCTTTTCTGATCTTCTTGGTGAGTGAATTTGCTCGGCAGCCAGCCTTCCTAATTCTTCAAACCACTTGGGAGAGATCCAGGCTCTTCCACACTGACACCCAAGTTACTCCATCTGTTCTCTCTTGAAACTCTTCCCGAGCTCTTTTTCCTTCCTTTCGGACAATAGTGGAGGTCAAAGATGTCAACTTTCTATCTTTCCTTCCAGGCCCAGGACACTGCCATTCTACAGGATGAAGACTACTTGTTGCTTCCTTCTCCTCATCCTCCTCCAGCTGATGATCCCAGGGACTGTTCCGTGTTCCTTGGACTTCATTCTGGATACAAAGATAAAGGAAACCCTCAGTGGCTTAGGTAATTGACTGGGGGTGGAGAGTGGAAGAGAACCCCTGATCATGCCTCTTACTCCTAAACCTAATTTCTCTATTCCTTCACCAAATACCCAACCTCTATGAAGTCCAGTCAAGCTTAATTTTCCTGCCCAGGGCTCTACTCCCATATCGTTTTTGGATTCCTGACTAAAACTTCAGATTTCCCTGGTAATAATAGCCTGATGACTTTGGTGATGAGGAGGAATAGTTATAACTTATGAACACTTATTGTAAACAAATTATGCAAAGCTTTACATAGATTACTTCACTTGACTTTCACTTTATGAAGTAAGTACAACTATTACTTTTATTTTACAAATGAGGAAACTCAATGATAAAAGCTAGTAAGGACACAGTGACACTTCTGAGGTAAGGACAGATGCATGATTATGGACACAGTGACACTTCTGAGGTAAAAGGAGTTGTGGAAGGGGATAATGGGAGACAGATATCACGGGCAATACCCTTTCTTCTCTTCTATTTAGAGTTACATCCTTCCCCAACACGAAGGTTGTCATGTGTCAGTGTCAAGAACTCAGGCAGAGTGTCCTCCTGCCCTGCAGGTGAGTAACTCCATGAGGAAGAATGGTGGGTAAGGTGCCCTGTACCCTCCCCTGACCATCCCCCAGCATCTATACTTCCCCCTGTCTCATGTTGGTATTACCATGGGGCAGAGTCGTAATTCTGATTCCCAGAGATCTCTTGCCCATTCTCATTCCCTTAACAGTGCTACTGAGGGCTCTTGAGTTTCGGCCTCTTCCCCTCCCACCTTCCTTTCATGACCTCACACACCAGCCCTCCTTCCCTCAGTTGTCCTGTTACGATCTGTCACCTCCCATTCCCCCCGTCATTCACCTCCCTTTCCTGATCTATTCTCTTGTTTGGGTGGGTAGGGCCAGCATCGAGGTAAATATATCATGAATCTAAGCAAAGAAGTGCTCAGGCCCCTCACTTTCACACGTCTCTTCCATGGCCCTACACCTAAATTTGTTTTAATAATTTTTATATTTTTTTTCTCTTAAAGAGGGCTCTCAAAATCGAATGAGCTCTCAGTCCCCACAAAACTTAGATCTACCACTAGGCTACGCAGAAATTGAAAAATGATAGGAGGACACCTTCCTCCTCTCAAAATCCAAGGGTCTATGTCTCATGTGCCCATGCAGGGATGATTGTCACTGGCTGTGCCTGTGGCTATGGCTGTGGCTCCTGGGATGTCCAGGGCGAAAATACATGCCACTGCCAGTGCAGCACTATCGACTGGACCACCGCTCGCTGCTGCCACCTGACCTGAGGGGGAGGAGGACAAGAACCCAATGGTGTGACCATGATTGTAATGAAACCATACACCTGCCTCAAACTGTCCCTTTCATTTGTCACAACCTGCCTCTTGGGTAATAAAGACAATTTTTATATCTCTCTGTGTTTGTATTTTTTATATTACTGCCCCTGGCTTAGAATTCTTCTAGCTGAAAATTTCTCCAGCATCCTAATTACTCCCATCTCAGCAAAGATTAGGAAAAAAATGGGGAGAATGGGAAACACTGAGATTGATATTCCAGACTCCCAATTCCCTCGTTGTTTAACAAAAGGACAATGACTCTGTCAGGTGTTTTGCCTGGTACTAGAAGTACAGAGGAAAAAAAAAAATAACATGCATACCCTTATGGAACTCACTGAGTAGAACAGTGGGTTCCAAATTGAGTGCAGGCAGGCTTTCCAAGGTGGAGACAGGTAAAGACAGTTTAAAAAGAATAAATTTCTAGATTCCTGGTTTGGGTATGTACTGTTTCCTAAACTTATGTGTCAGAGATCTATTTTGATCAAAGTGATGAATATGCTATTGTCTTTCTCCTCCATAACGAAAGAAAAACACAGCCTTTACCTGCCATAGAACCTTACCATGAATTCATCAGCTTGGGGTATAAATATCTGCAAAATAGAAAGGAATGATTCAAAATATTGGCACCAAGGTTGAGTGATCCGGTGACTAGGGTATCAAGTCCTTTTACAATTTGTGAGACTTCCGGTGTTTAACGCAATATCGAAGGAGGGTATCATCCAGTTATCAATCGGTAGACCACCAAAAATAATTTTTAATAGTAAATTGCAGTAAAGATTTTTAACAAATAACTCAAAAGAAATTCAAACAAAGTGAATGATATTACTACAATAAATTTTTTTCCCTCCCTACATACTTATTTATGAAATTGTCATCTCAAAGCTTGTAACTATGAAAAGAAAAAAGAGAAATATACTTGGCTCCAAACTTTATCTCTCTCTGGGATTATTTGTTCATGGGTATATAAACTACTCAAAGAAAAAAAAGCAGCTCCATCTCTCTAAGAAGCATATTTCCAAAATACACGGTTTGTGTTTATTACTGTAACAAAATCTGTTATAAATGTTTTTGTTCAGTTGTGTACTATAAATCAGTGCAATAATAACTCAATACCCCTACTTATGGCAAGTAGAGTGAGTTTCTTAAAATATAAACCAAAGTCATGGTCACATTTCTGACCAAATTACACATTCTAGTGACTTTTCATTACACAGAAAATAAAATCCTGAGTACTTATATGGCCAACATGATCTGCATCTAGCCTTTGGGTCTATCTCCAACCTCATTTCTGATCCTTCACCCTGACCACATCTGAGTTCTTGGTATTCCTAGAAGCAATAGCTACACTACTACCTCAGGGCCTTTCTACTTCACATCCCCCAGATAGTTACATGGTTCTCCACACACAAGGTCAATCACCATTATTTCAGAGAAGCCTTTCTGGCATGTTCTATCTCTTATCTTTTTTATCATTTTTCTTTTCTTTTTCTTTCTTTTTCTTAAACTTTTTTTTTAAAGATTTTATCTATTTATTCATGAGAGACAGAGAGAGAGAGAGAGAGAGAGAGAGGCAGAGACACAGGCAGAGGGAGAAGCAGGCTCCATGCAGGGAGCCCGATGTGGGACTCAATCCCAGGATCCCAGGATCACACCCTGGGCTGAAGGCAGGCATCAAACTGCTGAGCCACCCAGGCTACCCTTTTTTCCTTTTTTGATGCTTTTTAGTCTTGACTTCAAAATACGTATTTATCTGTTAATGTATTATCTCTCCCCTTGGAACATGTAATCCATGAAAGACGAAACTTTGCCTAATCTGCGCATCATTGAATCCTCAGTGCTTAGAATGGCAGCTGGCCCATGGAGGAGCTTCAATGAACAAATGAATTAGTCTATTAAGTCTGAGTCAGCTCCCTCTCTTGCCTTCTCTTCCACTTCCCGTGGTCACTGAGGGACAGACACTGTTTTACTGGTCCCAGGATCCCACACTCAATGTGCCTGTGGAAGAAATAACTGTACCTCAGAGGGCACATCTTTCAAAGAAGAGTCAGAGTGAAGAGGAAACCAGAGACATTAGCAAGAGCAGAAGCAGAAGTTGGATTTTGTAGCTCTGGCTGATATGGTTGCCCATTGAGTGGCCAATCTCCCCTTTCTCTGTGTGGACAGCATCCTGGTTTCACTCGGAATGGTACTGTGCCCAGTCCTCAGGGATAAATTATTGTTTAAGTCAATAAGGAGCTTCTGCTCCTCTTGGCCAAATATTCTCTTTCCTAGACACCTTTGCATGATGTGTAGTTGGAGTATGTGACCCAAAATAGGCCGACAACACAGAGGAGCACTCTGTTTGGGTCTTCTGAGAAAGAGTTTGCTTCCTGGATGAAAAGAAGAGACTGAAAACTGTCCATGATAATTTTGTTGCTTTGGATTTGGGTGTGAGGACGTGAAGTCTGGAGCTGTGACCATGGAGTTAGTCAACCATCTTGTGATCTTTGAGGAAAAACTCTAAGGATGGTAAAGAAGAAGAAGGGAAAGAATCTGAAGCTGCTGGAACAAAGAAATTGAAAAAAGCCTAGTATCGTTAAAAGCTAATTTTTTCATAAGTAACAAATCAGTGTTTATACTCATTCATTTTTACCAGTATTTACTGAGTTCCGCTGTGGGCCAGGCAGTGGAATACGGTGGTGGCCGAAAATTACTGCCATTCATGGAGCTTCCATTCTATTTTTTTTAAGATTTTAACTATTTATTTACTTAGAGCTGGATCTCACAACCCTGAGATCATGACCTGAGCTGAAATCAAGATTCTGACACTTAACTGACTGAGACACCCAGGTCCCCCAGTGGAGCTTCCATTCTATTTCCAGGCTTCTACCAGCTGGGATTTTTGTTACTGTCCCATGAACAGAATTGGTCAAGGACAATGTAATATACCTCAGGAGATGACAACCAGAGTTCTAAGACCACACCTTTCTGCCTCTTCCTGTTGAAGGAGTCAACAAAAGGTCTATAAAGTGAGATGTTAGCAAACTTGGCAATTCCTGGCAAGGTAGTTGCCAGGTTTGTGGGGCTGCCAAGAGAGGGGAAGGGGGGGGAAAGACAAAGGTGGAACGGCTTCCCCAGCAGAAAATGAGAGCAAAGGCAGCTTGTCCCTCTGTGGACACACTGGAGAGTGTTTCAGCCTCTTTCTGAAGGCTGGACCCTCCCCGGCTGCCTTAGATCCCAAATACTGTGTTGGTTGGTGGAAACGAGGGAATGCCCTCGCCACATGCTGCCAGGGTGAAAACGTCTCTGCCCTCCCAACCTTGGCAGCCCTTTCCTAATCCTGGCTGTGGGAGTGTGACGCAGAGCTTTCTTCCCTGACATCTCTGCCTGTCAGGAGTGCTGCCAAGGGATCCGGGCTGCCCAGTCCAGTTCTTTCCTAGTGACCTTTCCCTCCTCTCCCCTCCAGACCCCGAAATTGTCTTTACCTCCAGACCCCTGAATTGTCTTTACCTTCTCTCTACTCTTTCCTCATGGCAGGATGCGGTGTTCCAACAGGATGAAGCCCTCTTCTCACCTCCTCCTCATCCCACCTTCCAACTCATGAGCCCAGAGGATTCTCAGTGCCACTTGCACTTCGTTATAGATGAAAAGGTAAGAGCGGCCTTCGGTGAACTGGCTGACTTTTATTGGGGCGGGGGGGGGGGAACAGGGCCAATCATATTTCAGATTCTCAATCCTGCTATTAGACTCCACCCCATCTCCTAACCGATCTCTGGATGGCAACCCCTAACTTTAAGATTCATCCCAAACTCCCTGCCTTCTCTGTGGGCTCTTCTAGCTGCTGGCGGCTCGCTGTCAAAGTCTACACCTAATATTCTCGAACACTTGCCACGCGTTGGCCCTGGTAGGCATTCTATTATTATTTTATTAATAATTAATTATTTTATTAATAATTAATCACTACAACTCTATGAGGTAAGCACTGTTCTTTCCATTGTGCAGAAAGGAAAACTGAGGCTTAGATATAATTTATCCAGCAGCGGACCACCATTAAGTGGCTCAATCCTGGATACGCTGACTCCTTTGCAGAAGGGTGATGTAGAGTGTAGGGGAGGGGCTACCCAGTCTTAGCTGTCTTAGCTCTTAGCTAAGCTCTTCGTGTCTCCCAGTGAATGCGAGCCCTCGGACTGCATGAAACAGCTCTTCTGTAGTAGCATCACTAATGAAAGTAAGGTGTCCTCCTTCCTCTCACATAAGTAATTATATGAAGATGGAGGTGTTTACTCACTCTTGCCCTTCCTCATGCCCCTGGGCTCAGGCTGCCAACCCATGATTGTACCAACACGTTTTCTCCAAACTCAGGATTGTAATGTCTTCAGGTTGGGTCACAAGTCCAAAACCCATACTTTCCATCCTTTGCTCCCAAGAGGCTACTTAGGGAACTGAGGTTTCATTCCACTCCAATCTTTCCTCGCCTCCACAGCATTGCCATACCACCTCCTTCCTCTTCTGTGTCCTCCAACTCCCCCTCCCAATCTAATTCCATGCTGTCTCTGCCCCATTGGAAAGGAGGAGACAAAGGATGATGGGGGAGGGCTTGCTCCTGTGCCTGTGCTTGTGGCCCCTGAGAGGTCCAGGGGGCACCATGTGCACCTGCGGTGCAATCCTGTAGGGTGTACGTGGCCAGCTGCTGCTTCCTCATCTAAGTGAAGGACGCAGGCTCTCAGTCGGGACCATGAAGTCAATAAAACCAAATCGCCAACCAGGAAACCTCTACCCCCTCTCCTTCAAACCATGAGTTCTCAAGTCCCCGCCCGCCTGTGACATCCTTGCTTCACAAATAGCAAAGATAGTCCTTGCACCTCTCTGCTTGTGTCTTTGGTGTTACTAGACCACACCTAGGTGCTGGGAGAGGGCAGAGAGCATGAAATGGGTGGTGGGAGACAGACGCTGTAGCTACCAACCACAGCCTG